CGGGCCGCCTCGGCTTCCGCAGTTCGGGGCGCCGGGCGGAGTTGGAGCCGCGGCTGTGCCGCGCAGCCGGGAGCGACCGCCCGCTCTCGCGGGTTCCTTCTCGGCGTCGGGAAGTCGCCGGAGTTTTTTGTTTTTGTTTTTTTCTCCCCCTAAACGGTCATCCAATTTTATAATCCCAATAACCTGATCTCCCGCTCCTCCCCACCAGCCTGCCTCCGCCCTCGCTTTTTCCTTCCTCCCTCCCATTTCCACCTCCTCGGCCCCCGCGGAGGGGAAACCCGGCCGCCGCCCGGGCAGGGGTGTCCGAGCCCGGGGCGCTGGGGGTGGGGCATAGGCGGTGTCCTCCGTGTGCGCGGAGAAGCCCCGCCGCCTAGCAGCGCGCCGGGCCATTCGCATCACCAGGCATCTTGTTCCCAAATTAAACGTCCGCTGGGGGGACTTGGGCGGACGGACCTCCTCTCCGGCTCCTCCCGGTTCCCCCGCCCCAAGTCCGCCGGGGAGGCTGCCTGGCGCGGAGGCGGCGGCCGCAGGGGCCGAGGTAAGAGCTCGGCTTTGGTCCTTTGCGCGCCCTGCAGCGCGCGCCGCTCCTGCTCAGCCCCGACCCGGGCCGGGCCTCGAGCTCCTGCGGGGGCTGCACGCTCCGGCCGATTCCTCGACAGCGCGCGCCGGCCTCAGCGGCAGCCGCGATCCGGGTCTGGGAGCCACCGCCTCGACGCACGGCGGCGCCCGCACCCTGCCCCGGACTCGCCCCAGGCCGCGGGGTGGGAGGAATCAAGTAGCCTCTCGGACTGGAATGGCAATGCCAGTTTGGGGAGCTTTAGTGTTTTTTGCTTATCCTGCATGCACTAGTGTCTGCCCCCACTAGACCCGCAGGTGACTCTGATTTTCCTGAGCTGTGAGTTTGTGACTGCATTGTACAGCTCTGGGCGAGAAGACACCCTGTCCCCCATCCCGATCCCCACCCCCCCACCCCAACTCTTGCGCTTTGGGACCTTGCTCAGTTTTCATCCGTCTTTTCTCCAGAGCTGGCAGGGCGGTAACTGGATGCTTGGGGTTAAACTGTGCAGGAGCACAGATTAGGCGGAGGAGGAGTCCCTCGGATTTTTCCGTCTCTGTCCCCACCCCACCCGGTCCTCAGGGGTCCAGTTGGGACGGACCCAACCCCCGCCCCACTTTCTCTTCGCAGGCAATCTGTGGGCGACCGCATCTGCCGGGGACTTTACCATCAGTCCTCCAGGACTTGGGGAGAGAAAGCCCGTAGCTCCCCATCCCCTACTGCTCCACCATTTCGGACACCCCACAGGCACCCGATTTGGTGTTCCGTCTGACTTCCAAGAAGGACTCGAGCTCCTCTCTGACTCCAGCTTGGGCAACCACCTGTCTTTGCCGTGGTGACCCGTTTTCCCATGACCCTGCGGTGCCTTGAGCCCTCCGGGAATGGTGCGGAAGGGACACACAGCCAGTGGGGGACCGCCGGGTCGGCGGAGGAGCCGTCCCCGGAGGCGGCGCGTCTGGCGAAGGCCCTGCGCGAGCTCGGCTACACAGGTAGGGAGCGGACGGGCGCCCCGTCAAAGGAACAGCTGGAAAGTGGGCCGCCATGGGATGAAGAACGCCTTGGAAATTTCTCTGGGTTTCCCGTCCCCACCCCAGAACTGGGGTCTATGAGAGCGGTGTTTGATCCCTGAGTGCCCAGTCTCGGATCCGTGGGAAATGGGCAAGTGTACCTCCAGGGACCCAGGGCCTTGGGAGGGCATCGCGCGAGCGGAGCTTCTTAGACATTGCCTCTTTGGGCGATGGAAGTTGCACTAGTTTCCAGGGGTGGGCGCTTGGGCTGGAAGCCAGGCTAGAGAAAGCGCCGGGAGCCTCCCTTCCTGCGGTGCGCACGGGCAGCGAGTGGGCGCTGTGCTCCCTGCAGCCCGGCTGTGTCCGGCTCCCGGGCGGGGCTGCCGTTGCACCCCGGGATTCCGGAGCCAAGTTGAGCTGGGACGGAGGGACTCGAGCCCAGCAGGGAAGCCCCCGCCGAGCGGGAGCGTGGCGCCCCGGGGACAGCTGGTTGAAGGGCAACTCTGCGCCGGGCGCGCGCACGTGGTTCAGCATCAGAAAGGAAAGATCTTTATAAAATATCTAGCACATCACAGGCTTTCCAAATCTGGATTCTAAAGCTTGCTTTTGAAGCAGAGTAGAAGTTTCAATAGTAATGGGTGGAGGAAGAGGGAAAAGTTCCTCCCTTGATGTTTCCGTCTTGGGTTTCGGGCAGCCGGCTGCGGGCTTTCCCTCAGCTGGAGAGACCCGTCGATGACCGTGTCCTGATAATTTTTTTTCGGGTGTGTGTGTGGGGGGTGTTAGGTGGATGTGGGGGAAGCACATTGTTAAGGCTTCTTCAATGCACAATATGTCTGAGTCATTTTTGAAAGCGGAGGGGCTAGTGCGATGGCTGAGGCTGATCAAATAGAGAAAGTGGAGGAGACTAATTGTTTCGATTGCCCTCGAATCAGGGCAAAGTCCTAGGGTTTACCAAAGATTATAAACTTGCAGGACTAACGATTAGTTGGGGCTTCCCATTCTCAGTGACTTATGAGATGGTTGTAATCAAAGCAATTAACAGGAGCTATTGTAGGAGAGCTTGTACTTTAAAAGTGGACCCGGGAGCATTAGCAGATTCTTTTAGGGCTTGTAAGAATCCACCATCCAGAGAAGTCTCTTTTGCTTTTTACTCTCCTGGGGTTGGGTTTTCCACTTTTTATTTCTAATTTCTAGTATATTTTTAATTTATTTAGTCTTTGTTTTAGTTAAAAGTATTAAACATAATGCTTTGTTAGCCAGTTTCTGATGTTCTTCAGGCTCAGAAGGTCTTAAAGTAACTTAGAGAAGGGTTATGGGAAGTTATTTTAAAAAGAAAGAGCAAGAAAGAAACATGGCTCACAGTTTGTGTTTGTGCAGGAAAAAAAAGACTCAAATTTTCATTGAAATTCTACCAAAAGTATTTGTGGTAGCCCCTGTAAGTTCAAACACGTGTGTGTATCTATCTATATCTATATCTATATCTATATCTATATACATATACACTTTTTTTAGAGCTAGCAAAATTACTGCCAAGTACATGTGGGGGAAGTTCTAAAAATCTGTAATAACTTCTGCCCTCTTTTCTTTTTCTTTTTGAACAAAAACCCCAGGATGGTACTGGGGAAGTATGACTGTTAATGAAGCCAAAGAGAAATTAAAAGAAGCTCCCGAAGAAACTTTCTTGATTAGAGACAGTTCACATTCAGACTACCTACTAACAATCTCTGTTAAAACATCAGCTGGACCAACCAATCTGCGAATTGAGTACCAAGATGGGAAGTTCAGGCTGGATTCTATCATATGTGTCAAGTCCAAGCTTAAACAATTTGACAGCGTGGTTCACCTGATTGACTACTATGTGCAGATGTGCAAGGATAAGCGGACGGGTCCAGAAGCCCCCCGAAACGGGACCGTTCACCTTTACTTGACCAAACCGCTGTACACGTCCGCACCCTCCCTGCAGCATCTCTGCCGACTCACCATTAACAAATGCACCGGGACGGTCTGGGGCCTGCCTTTACCAACAAGACTGAAAGATTACTTGGAAGAGTATAAATTCCAGGTGTAAGTGTTTCTCTTTTTCTAAACATGCCTCATTTAGAGTATCTCCAAATGCAGCTATGTAAAAGAGAACCAAAACTTGAGTGACTGCCCTGAAACACTGCACAGAATCCTCGCTAAGAGCAGCTGAAGTCAGTCTAATTTAAACCCGTGAAGCGTAAGCTAGGTATTTAAAGTTCCCTTAGATAGTTCCGCCTACCTGAGCAATGCTTCCTTTCCTAAGGTTAACCAACACCGGTTGGCCCATTTAAATTCAAAAAATAAAATGTCCCAAAGTAAAGGCTGAGGGAGCATTTTATCAGAACACCTTGCCTTTCTGAAGTTCCTTTGCATTAGGTCAAAGGTCTAAGCTCCAAGCTCCAAGCTCCAAACTCCAAACTCCAAGCTCCAAGCTCCAAGCACCCATAGGTAGTAAAGAGCTCAGTACTTAAGAGAGAAACCAGGCTGACGCAGGCATGACTTCAGTGCCGAATGCCTGCTGGTCAGTCTGTTCTGGGATGTTTTATATTTTGCATCCTTGTGTACCGAGGAATTTTGTTAAAAAGACTATGCTTGTATTTATCCCTCCTTTTATGCAATTAACCAAACCAACCAAAACAAGTGACCATGAAATCCTGTATTTGTCTTTTTACTACACGTATGAACTCTCTCCAATGAATGAGTACTGTAGTAATCTACTCTAAGGGAGCCTTAATTCAGAAATATTTCAAACTGGTGCAAATGGAAAAGATTTTCTCTTTTCCTTTAAGGCTAATGACAAGAATGTTATGCTATACAGGTGCAATTTAATCCCTGTTTGTAGAAACCAATGTAGATGTTTCATCCTTTGAAGTAGCTGTGTCCCAAACTATTGCCATTGATTTTTTTTTTTGAAATGACTTTAGAAATTTTCAAGTTGTCCTTGAATTGTTTAACTATGGATGTCAGCTGTTGTCTCCCTTCTACCATTACTTTTGACTTAGTTTTCTTCCAGATGTAGGGGAATATATGCCTGTTTTTCCAAGTGTTTATTTACTGCTGTTACTATCTGATTAGAATGTATTAAATAAAAGAAACCCTGACTTTTACAAGTTGCACTTATTACTTTGAATTGTAGAGAATGTACACTGTCGTGGTAATAGCGGGCTGCCATAATACCTATTATCCAGTGACATAAGCCAAATATTCAGCAAGATGTAAAACATAAGTCACCATTCTCTAATGTGAAGGGTTGTGCCTACCTTTTGCATTTTGGAAAGCGTAGTTGGTTCAGAAACTGCAAGAGGTATCACATGGCTTGGTTTTTTACAAGATGAATAGGCATGACATTGAGGCCCTTTCTGTTTCCAAAAATATGGTTTAGAAAGTACAAAAATTGTGTCATGGCCTGGACTTTGACAAGTTGAGTAGACCTAATGCTAAATAAAAATTAGAAGTTGCAGTCACTTTCTCATTTTGCTACACCGTCTAAGTACTAGGAACTCACTATCTTTTCTGGGATCTCGCTCTCTTTCATTTTGCCCCCTTTGAAAAATTGCCTCCCGTAGTTAAATATTAGAGTGCGTCATCAGGAGCACTGATCCTGGTATGTTCTACATGTATCCTGAGTGAATAGAAAAGTCAATTACAAATTATAGTAGAACTTGCTGATGGTAGATCTTATTTTTATTGAGAACTTGAAAATCACAAAAATGTTGGGCCTCGAAGGAAAGAAAGCAAACATACTATGCATCCAAACATGGGAAGGCGGCTGGGTGTATCTGAAGAGTTTATTGTAGCGCAGATTTGAAGAGCTAGACTTCCAGGGTCTGCTCTGTGATGGGCGACAAGCTTCTCATTAGGTTATTCAGATCCCGTGTTTCGTCACCCTCGCGTTTGTCTAGGGTTCACTGTTTGCCTAGCAATGCTTTCACAAGGTCACTGCCATTGTAGGACTTCCTTAAAGGCCTCTTGCATTTTGGTGCTCTTTGAAACATTCGAGGTTTCCTAGTTACTGGGAGGGAGGAGGCAGTAGCAGAGCAGGAGTACCTGTGGGTTCTGGAAGGTTCTGCTGCCCTTCTAGCCAGTGACTTCAACACAGAGGACAGTGCAGACTTCTCCGGAGTGTGCTAGGAAACGGATTTCCTCATGTTTCAATCCTCCCTGTTCAGAATAGGTTGGTAAGCATCAGGAAGCAACCTGAGATTTTTGGTGTATTTGTTTTGGTGTATTTGTAACATTTATGTATTGAGTTCAGAGGGCACCAGGCTCTGACTCAGGAGTTTGATTGCATTATTTCATTTAATCTTTGCGAGACCTAGTGAGCAAAGTCCAGGATTATAGGAGGGGAATATTTCTGCATTGATCCAGATGAACAAGTTAGAGCAGGTTGTAAAAGGAATCCTCAGTTTTTTATTGCTGCCTTCACGGGAAGCGGGAAGATAGCTTAATTAGTGCTGTTCTGGTGGGAGGCTATCACTCTTGGTTCCATGGTCCTTCCTGCCTCCTTCCCTCCCTACTCCTGAAAGGGAGCCCCTAGTAACTGGCTGAGGGTTGGTAGAGAGGGATGGACTCATTTACTGGGTGGCTGCTGAATGATTCAATTTGACAGCCTGGTTTTACATGGAGTGGAACGAAAAGTTAAGATGCACACTTGTCTAAATTATTCCTAATAGAACTGGAAAAGTACTCAGTGCAGGGCCGCCAGGGGCATTAGTAAGATCTCTATTATTGTTAACAGTGATGAAGAGTGTCGTACGGGGTTCGTTGTATCCCCACAGATTTTAAAATATTTTGATCTGGATTTCTGTGCTGAGCCAAGGAAAGACAGTGGAGCTTTTTATTACCATTACAGTGGGCACTGGCCACTGCTCTGTGAAATGCTCAGAATGTTTTAGGATTTTGAGGAGTAGAGAAAAAAACTGTTTTGTATGAGCCAAGAGCTGTTTCTGTTATGCCCATTTGAAAGCTTTGACTTCACAGTAATTATGTAATTCAAACAGGTAACAGAATGGGACAGTTGTTTGGGAGTGTTTGTTTTCTTGGAAAGGATTTTCTCTGCTTTTAGAAAATTGTACCCTGTCAGGAGGTTAGGAGACAGAGACGTCATCCAGTAAGTAATCCGAGA